AAGATCTCAAGTTCGACTTAGAAGAGGGCATCTTTCTGTATTTTTCTTGTTCTTCTTTCAAACTCAATATCGTAGTTAATCGTGGACGTACTTTTTCGCTGTTGACTGATGAGGTAACCCACTTTGCGTCCATAAAATTGTAACAAGAAATTGCAATTCTCAAGACTTCTTATGGTTTTTTTTTTTTTTTTTTTTTTTTTTTTTGAATACAATTTCATTTGTTTTTCCTTTCAGGGATGTCAATATCACGCTCTTCATTTGTCGGGACATACAGGGCCGCTGGAAATCAGTTTCACCTCTTTGTTCTCTTCGATTCTTTCTCGAACTCTATTCTGAAACAGCCTTGTCTATTTTTACTTTACAGGATGATGATGATGATGATTTCATTTACCCCGACCCCTCGCAATTTTTTAGAAGCGATATGCAGGTTACAACAACTATATATATCCCTGTCCGTACATGTAGAGTGTCCCACTTCCTGACAACGAACTTAGAGCCTCGTCAAGGCCTGTCTTGGCCTAATTGCCGCTCCCACTGTTAGGCTGCCCTCGCGGCGCGCGACTGCGAAACCGTTGTGACGCTTCGGCGAAGTCCAACACGGCCTGAACCGTCTTCGCCCTCGAAACGGTGTCTGGTTTACCTTTCTCACCTTGTTTTGAGCCTCCCAGCAGACTCGACACGCTGCTGAACGCATCTCCGACCTCTAGTCTCAGCTTTCTTCGCAATTGTTTTAATCTGGGGCAATCTACCAGCACGTGTGTCACTGTCTCTTGAGCACCGCACACGCACTGATCGTCGTCTCAATAGCCGATGCCCTTGCGGTACGCTGATAGCTAATTGTGGCCCGTGCGTAGTTGAGTCAACAAATATGCCCGGCCCCTGGCCAGGTTTCCGTATAACTTCCTGGTGTATGCCGACGGCAGAGAGTTATCGATCTTCCGGAGATGGCCGCCTTTACTGGCTGATCTCCATTCCTGTTCCCACTGAGTGATGATGTTACTGCGAATAAACGCCCTCTCCCTCGAGAGTAGCGGTCGGAACGGGTGGGATTTGCCCGGGCTAGCAGCTTCCTTCGCCATTCGGTCCGCGGCGTCATTTCCGGGGTCGTCACAGTGTCCTGGCACCCACTGAAGGCGCAACATGATCCCTGCGGCTCGGACCTCTGTGGCGGCTAGGTGGATTGCGTGAACAATTCCTTGTCCCGACTTCTTCTTTACGCTCTGAATCGCTTGTAGCGCCGACCTGCTGTCGCAGAGGATTGTCGCGGTCGTCCCTGGGACTTCCACGCCTATTCGGTGGTGCGCTACTTGAAAGACCATGCCGATCGCGTGGAAGATGCCGATAAGCTCGGCCACGTGGACCGACCAACGGTCCATCGGTCCCACCTGAACCTGTTGGGATTCGACTACATCCATACTATCGTTCAGTACCACAACGGCTGCCCCCAGGAGACCGTCGCGACCGGAGGCGTCCGAGTAGACAACTATGTCCGATGCTGAGCGGACGGCCTCGGCGTATTCCCTCGCGGCGTCTCGATCTGAGCCAATTTCAATCTCTGTGAAAGAGTCTAGGCGCCACGGTGGTAGCGGTCGTGGGTCAATTGTTTCAAGTTCGCTGAGTCTCTCGACGTTCATGGTCTTCAGCGCTTCCGCAAGTGGAAAGCGAGCGTACGATCCGATGTTATTTCTGCGTTTCTGGGCACGGGTGAGGGCGTGCCAGATCAGGTGTTCCCGAGGTAGCGTGTGAAGATCGGCGATGGTGCGCTGGGCTCGGTGGCGAAGACGAAGATGGGTGGGGAGGATATGCGCCTCTACCTCCAGGGCCGTTGTGGCCACGGTTCGGAATGCCGACAGAATGCGGATCAGCGAGGTTCTCTGCACCGTGTTCAGGTGTCTCAGATGTGTCTTGTCTCTCAACGGGTCGAACCACACGGTCGACGCGTAGTCGACGACCGGCGTGACGCATGCTTGGTAAAGCTGTCGCATTTGTTCTGGGCGCAGGTGTCGTAGTCCACACAGTGCGATGGTGGTTTTGGTTGCGCGTTTGATGGCCTGCTGCACATGTTCCTTCCACCGGAGCTCCTGGTCGAAGACCACGCCCAGGAGCTTAGCTGTAGGGGACGGCGAGACCACTGTCCCATTTACCACTATCTGGCCTTGTAGATGATTACCTCGCCTCCTGGTGAGGTGGATGAGCTCGGTTTTCTCAGCGGCGAAGGCAGACCCAGTTCGTCGCGCCCAGGCTTCGATCCGGGGGATGTCCTCGGACTGTAGTTTGGCCAAATTCTCTTCGGCCGATCGGCCTACTCGCCAGCGGAAATAGTCGTCGATGAATGCCGAAGCACCCCCGTAGAAAGTGACGGGTTGGTCAACCAGGTCGGCGTTGAAGAATGCGAATAGGATAGGTGACAGCGGCGATCCCTGGGCGAGTCCCGCATTAGCTAGAGGCGCCGTCTCGGTGCGGAAGTCGTCGAATCCTATGTTCGCGTAGCGGTCGCTCATGAAACTTGCAATCCACTTTCTTGCTACGGTGGGAATCCTTTTGGCTCGAGGCAGGCGTCTAGGCTTGTCCTGTGGACTCCGTTGAAGGCTCCTTTCAGATCGAATGCCACAAGAGTGACCACTTTGTGCTTGTACCATGCCCGGTCGATCGCATTCGAGAGTACCAGCAGCGCTTGTTCTGTGGTCCTTCCCGGGCGACCGCCGAACTGAGTGTCCGGTAGCAGCCCGTGCTTTTCAGCAAGGTGTGAGAGTCGTCTGGCGACGACTGCTTCTAGGAGCTTACCCAGTGTGTTGAGGAGGGAGATCGGGCGATAGGCACCAGGGATCGAGTAATCCGGTTTCCCGGGTTTCCTTAGCACCACAATCTTCGCGGTCCGCCATTGTCTCGGGTGGTACCCTAGATTCACTGAGGCATTGAATATCCCGGTGATGACACTCCTTAGGTGTGTCCATAGCTGTTTCCATACTAGCATTGGTAGGTTATCTTCTCCCGGTGCGGTGGTCCCTTTGGCAGATTTAAGAGATCGTTGGATCTCTAGCTCGGTGATAGGTTGCCATGGGAGTTCCAACGGTGCCGCCGTTGACACACTGTCGTCTGGTGTACTCATTTCTGGGAAGAAGGAGTTGAGGAAGGCCTGCGCTTTGGGTTCGTTCTCGGTGACTTCGTGGTCGTCCACCCTCAGGGTTGGAACACAGCCCCAGCTATCTCGCGGTTTCATGTAGGTGGCAGCTTTCCAGAGTTTTCCTTCTCCTGCTTCGTCGAGGAATTGCTTCCAGCGAGATGCCCTGGCTTTCTCAATCGTCCGGGTCCAGGCCCGTCGACTTTCCTGCATCTCCCGGAAAGCATCTTTTGTGTGAGGGTGGTCACGTCCAAGAGATGCGCAGCTCTGCTGCCATCTCCGACGAATTCGGTTGACTATGCTCTGTTGTGCTTTGAGGTCTGGCGTAAACCAACGCTTAGAGTATGGACATGGGCGCGTGTTAGGCGTGTACTGGTTCACGGCTTCCGTGGTTGCGTCTATGAGTTTCTGTACCGTGTCGTCGAGGGTTGGGCGGGTTTTGATTTCTTTCCGAGGTCCAGTCTGCCTCGCTACATTTTCGCCGATCTTGTTCCAGTCTGCACGGCTGTATGCCTTTCGTTTCTGGGCAGTGGTGATGCGGTGGGTTTGGAGGGCCCACTCCGAATACGTGGCGCGGTGGTCAGACCCGTAATGTTCGTGGTAGAGGTGGCATTTAATGAGTAGGTCTGGGCGATTGGTCACCGTCTGGTCAATAGTTGAGATCCTCCCTGGCTGGCTGAGGGACCAGTAGGTCGCCGTCCCTCTAGGGAGGCAACTATGTAGGTTGTGAGTTTGGAAGAAGTCGATCAGGTCGCTTGCGTCTTCGATGAACCGTGGCGGGATGTTGTTTCCTCCCCAGGTCGGGTGGTGTCGGTTGAAGTCTCCGGCGAGGATGATCTTCGTCGACCGTCGGTCATCCCGAAGGGCGTCCGAAATAGTGTTTTGAATCGCTGTGAGCGCTGGTTCTGCTGATGCATTATCCGGGGTGTATAGCGGAATAGGTGGGATGTAAACAGAAAAAATAAGGGTTTGGGATTCAGCTGTCCAGATCTTGATAGCCACGATGTCGGGGTGGGAGCATGGGATCTGGCGGTGTGAGGAAGTAGAAAGACTCCGGTTCACATAGATTAGGCTCCGGAACCGAACCGCATCTGTCTCGACCGTTGGCCTGTACAAGCGCCATGCGCTATGGTTGACATGGGTTCGATAGGTGTTGATGGACGGTTCCTGGATTAGGAGTGCGTCCAGGTTCTGGCTTTGGTGGTCGTTGATGAGGGCCTCCATCCTCGGGCCTGATTTCATCATGTTCAACTGTAGCATTCGTAGGTTGGTCTCTAACATTGACGGGGATTGAATGTTACGGGGGTCGGGCAGTGTCGGTCTCCTGTGGCATGCTCGCCACTACAGTCGAGGCACCGGGCTCGGACGCCCGGTGGGCAACGCTGGCGTTCATGTTGTCCGGCGCAGTGACCATAGCGCGGTGTTTCTTTGCATGACCACGCTAGGTGACCAAACCGTTGACATCGGAAGCATCTCTTTTTCTTGATCTCGCGGCGTTCCACGCTACCGATGTATCGTTGGCCGACCAGAAGGCCATTGTTGAGGATGTGCTCGGCTCCTTCCGCAGAGTCCAACCAGATACCGAGCGATGCGAACTTCCCCAGTATCTTATCCTTTCGCTTCAACCAGGCCACCTCCTCGACCCGGTAGCCATGTCCCGTCAAATCATTCTCTTCCATGATTTTCTCGATAGCATCCGCAGTAGCATTTTCCAGGTCGAAGTCCTCGGTCGGAGTACGGTGCACCACAACTCCAAAACGCGGCTTCACCAGCCTGGTGTTGTTCCCTAGTTCGTTCAACCATTCAGTGTTGTTGCGCGCCGTTTCGGCCGACTCTGTGTCCTTAAATCTTATCACATAGCCGGTCTTGGTGGTCCCAATCCCTGCTACTTGGGCGTCTTGTGTCGATGGTGCGTTCAGGAGCGCGGTGCGGATACGGGTGTTGGCGGTCTCGGTAGGGAGGTATCGGCTGAAGGAGTTGTCGTCACCACTTTCGTTGTCTCGCGGGTCCACAAAAGTCCTCTGAGTACTGATACGGACGCAGCTCCGTTCCTTTTCAGGTCGTTGGTGGCTCGGTTGGGGGGTTTCGCTGGTGTCGTTGGCTGCTACTGCGGCCCACGTACTAGGCGGCAGGGCCTGAGGCCTGGCTTCGATTTGTGCTCGCAGTGCTCTGATTTCCTCATGGAGCTTTTCATTCTGTTCTCGGATGAAGTTCTGGTCGTGTTTCACTTCTAGGAGCTCGGTCTTGGTGGATTCGATGAGCGTGGTTTGGTTGTTGATGATCTCCTTCAGGCTGTTGATGAGCTGTCGGACCTCCTTGGTCGTCACCCGTCCGTTATTGTCGCCGGTGTCTCCAAACTCGGGGTTTAAGTAACCGGTGGTGGTGGCCTCATCTCTATTGCGAGGGCTTCTTCTCTTTCGAGGCACAACCGGTTCAAAGTCATCCAGAGTGAAAAGCTGTGTCCCTATTTGGGTGTTTGTGGGGGAGGGCCCGGGCCCTCCCGTGGGTGGGTCCGCCATCTGTCCGGGGTTAGTTCCCGCTCGGCACACAACACGAGTTTATATCGCAATAGTATCAAACACAACGCAATTCTTCCACTAGTTCGTAATCTCTTCGCTCGGCCAGGCTCTCTGTTCAGATACCCGTGTGTCTTATCTTTTATTTTACAGGACCGCTCGAAATCAGTTTCACCTATTTGTTCAATTGAATTTGTTTTGGAACTTATCTTGCATCAAACTATGCCTATTATGGTTAGGCTACCCCTGGAGCCGTCCTTGGCGGTATTCTAATACTGCTGTAAAATTCTATATAAAAATAGCCTTTGTATTGTCTTGTATGGGTTGTTTGTTCTAGAAGCTCCTTGTAACAAACAAGCCAAATATGCCAAGAAAAAGGGGCAGCTGGTTCTCTGGCCACGATGTCACACATTCCAACTTCAGTCAACTCTTCCAATTCCACTAACAAGACAGAAGCCGTTGAATGAACGAAAAGACGTGCGCAAGTGAAGAATAATATGGTGGGGTAGAAATTTCGTAGATCAATATTTTGTTCCTTTGCTCTCTGTCGAGCTATCTTTTTCGACCATCCGACCGACGCAAGAGCCCGCTTGAGACTCGAGCTTGTCACCCAAACACGAAACTCATCCCAGAGGAAGAGCACCATCTCATCCACATATAACCCAGGCTTCTCGAGAAGATGGTCACACAAAGTCTGGATCATTGGAGGCGTGGTGCTTCGTCGCCGGCCGACACGAGTCAAGGGAGCTCTGACATTTCCGAAAGGGCGAAGATTATTACGAATATTGATGATGGAGCGCTCGCTACACTCAGCAGCTTCGGCCATCTGTGATATAGTCAGAGATCCGCTATCTATCATGTCACGAATCATCTCCAGCTTGCATGGAGGGAGCCGAGGCGCCATTTTGGGAGGGAGGGTGGAAGGGGGCAAAGAGCGTCGTTGACGCACTGTAGGGAAAAGGTGTCCTCCATGCTCACCCTGCTCATCCCTGTGCTCAGTGAGCAGATGAAATTATTTTTCGTTAAAGTCTTGGGGGATGCTGGGGTATTGGGAACTGCACGTGACTTAAGGACCTTTTTGGTTCCTGGGAAGGTGCTGGTATGTACTCCATCAGAAAACTGCGGGTGTTGATCAGTGCTAACACTGAGCACAGAATAGTGATGTACAACCTCATGAAGGCAAGCTTACCCCTTTCGATGGAGAGAAAAAATTGATAGAATTGAAGTCCCGTAAATGCTATTTTACTAATATGAGGGATTGTGTTCTGAGAGTGCGAGGAATATGACACGACCCGATGAACAGTAAATTGCCACCGTTGCTGCAGATATACCAAATGGCGAAAGGTCAGATGGCCGATACTCTGGGGGAAATCACAACACGTTCGATCCATTATACGTTATCCAGGAAGAGTTGTCACTTAATCCAAACCCACATATTCCTGGCAAGTTCAAACGATTGGCGCTGGGCGCAACACAGGAGCCCCTAATTTTAGGGCACCAAGTATTGTGTGAAGATGATCGGGCTTTTCTTTATCGAATTGGAGGTGCAGATGTGAATATCAAAGTGGACACGCACTGGCCGGTGGCCGGACCCCAGATCCTGACGGTGTTATTGTAAGTGAGCTGAGGTATCAAATCTGCGCCGCTTAAGACTCATATCATCTCGTATGACGAAGTGGAGAGGCTTGCTTTCACGCAAGAGGGTTAAGTGGCTAGTGGAGATGTATTATTGGCGCAAAACCTAGAATGACTTGGATGCTATTTAGGCGCTAGATAGGAGACTCTGTTCTGAGAGAGCGAGGAATATGACATGACCTGATGAACAAGCGATTGCTACAAGGTTTGCGTACGTAGCGAATAAAGAGGGATGGGGCGGTCGATACTCCGCAGGTAACCATAACAGGTTGGACCCATTATAGGTTATCCATGAGTAGTCACTGCTCAAGCCATATCCAGATATTCCCCTCAAGGAGGAACAATGGGGACTTGATGCGATAGGATCGCTGGGTCCTATATCAAAGGTCCCGACGTTTGTGTGGAGATAGCTGGGTTTCATTTTATCAAATTGGAGGAAGCCAGGCTCGGGGATATGCTGTATTAAATCCTGCCGGCCTCTAACCAGGTCCCAGATCGTGACGGTCTTGTCATCCGCCGATGCGAGTCGCCTACCATCAGGCGACCAGGTAATTGACCTAACTCTGTATATATGTCCCTTAATAATAGACTCGCATTGGCCGATGGCCGAAATCCAGATTCTGACCGTCCTATCATCCGACGCTGATGCCAGTCGGCTTCCATCCAGCGACCAGGCGATTGACGTGACCGCATCACTATGCCCTTCAAGAGTAGACGTGCATTGGCCAGTGGCAAGATCCCAGATCCTGACGGTATTATCACCGGACGCTGATGCAAGTTGGCCACCATCCGGTGACCAGGCAGTCGAGATGACCCAGCTACTATGCCCTATAAGAGTAGACGCGCACTTGCCGGTGGCCTGATCCCAGATTTTGACGGACTTATCATCAGAAACTGATGCCAGTCGGCTTCCATCTGGCGACCAGGCAATCGATATGACCGAATTACTATGATCGCTTGGGGTAGACGCGCCTTGGCCAGTTGCCGGATCCCAGATCCTGACGGTCTTATCATTCGACGCCGATGCGAGTCGATTTCCATCTGCTGACCAAGCAATCGAGCTAGCCCAGTGCCCCTCGAAGATAGACACGCACTGGCCGGTGGCCGGATCCCAGATCCTGACGGTCTTATCGCTTGACGCTGATGCGAGTCGGTTTCCATCTGGTGACCAGGCAATCGAGTTGATATAGCTACTATGCCCCTCGAGGGTAGACACGCACTGGCCGGTGGCCGGATCCCAGATCCTGACGGTCTTATCACTCGACGCTGAAGCCAGTCGGCAGCCATCTGGCGACCAGGCAATTAACCCAGAGTTGGTGCCATGCCCTTCGAGGGTAAAAGTGCACTGGCTGGTGACTGGATCCCAGATCCTAACGGTCTTATCGCTCGACGCTGATGCGAGTCGGCTTCCATCTGGCGACCAGGCAATCGAGTTGACCCAGTTACTATGCCCCTCGAGGGTTTGAAGACATAAACTCCAGCTTTCATCTACCACTGGGCTGTTCAAAATCCAGTCTGGTTTCTCTTTCTGATAACATATCCTGGTGGTACTTTGAGTGGGGCTAAAAACGAGTCCTGAGCTGTATACTTGTAGGGGGCTGTTTTCGATTGCATGTCTGTAGTATCGAATGAAGCGGGACGCGTCTTGGACGCGATCTAGCAGGTCCTTTGACAGGCCGTTCCTCTGCGAAGTCCCTGGTTAATGTCGAGATATTTTCGAAATTACAATAACCACTCACATGAAGTAAGTCCTCCAGCTTCAGCATAGCGGTTATTCCTTCTGGTATGCATCCTAGAATCCCGAGGCTTTCGAGCCAGTGAAGATATTTCTGTCGTAGAAACTTATCCAGACAGCTTCTATCATCAAGGCTGTGATAGTTGTCTTCACTACACCAACCTTCTAAAAGATGGTCAACCCAATACACACACGCGTATTTTACAGCTACCAGAGGATTCAAACGTGAGCGTGTGAATTCTTCGTTCGAACTTCCAACAGGCTTAATATCGAGGATATTATGCTGAAGTGTCTTGAACATAGACTCCAGAGATCGCGAGAAAATTGCAAAATGCTCGGCTTCTCGGTCCTCCGGGAACAATTCAAATCGCGCCTTTTCGAGAAGAAATTCCTTTGCAGACTGATGGACGAAAACAATAACGTCCTCACGACAAGCGAGGAACGAGCCACAAACTGCGATAATCTCCAGTAAAGCTACATCATCATCGGAGATATCATCGGGTATTTCAACAATAGTGGTCAGTTCGTCAGGAGTGATAGGTCGATAAGCAATTGACATAACTGCCAGTATTCGCTTGCAGACCTCAGCATCTTCAGATATTCGAACCTGGTCAATCATCCGACTATATAAAGCATCCAGTCCAGGAGGGAACCCGTTAAGTTTTTTTAGGACATGCCTCCGCGATGTTCTGTTGAGATCTTGACAAACCAGGGCTACCCAGAGGAAAGTGCTTTGTGAATTTGACGACAAGTGACGGTGAACAGTATCACGAAGTTCATCTCCATACTTCTTAACTTCTGCCAAATGGTGAACATTATGCCGAATGTACTGTTCCACAGCATTAGATACGGATATCTCGTTTAACTCTAATGAAATAAGCGCTGTCTGAGTTGCCATATTCAGACGCTCTTCGATACCAGGCCAGTTGCGGCTTGACACAATCCACTTCACGTGTGAATGGGTGGATGATTCCTGGACAATTAAGTCCAGAAGGAGAGGGAGGTCTGCCGTGCATTCGTCTAGCGCATCGATCAGTAGATAAGTATTCTGCAGGATCGGGTCTTTCAAGATATTGTTGAAAATATCTGAGAGCGCATTCCATGCATTGACATCCTCAAACAGTGTCTTTCCCGCTTGGTCGTACCGGCTCCGAACATGGGATAGAAGCGATGCTTGCCTCACGACTAGTGAATATATTAAGCCACGAAGCACGGCTGTTGCATTGTTGATTCGTACGTCCGTAGCCTGGCAAAAGAAGAAGGCGATGTTTCCATTATCTCCGACCGACCAGGTCATTTCGTTGATGATCCCACACAGTAGCATTGTCTTGCCTTTGCCGGGATCACCCTTGATCCAGAGGAGACGGCTGCTCTGGCTGTCTTGCCACTGTCTGAACTGCTCGTTGTCTAAAATCCAGCGATATGAGTCTATGAGCAAGCCTCCGTTGGTTCGCTCGATACGGCCCTTATCATCATGAGGACTGGTCGTTCGCAGATCCCGTAGGCACGCTTGATTCAGTGACGCTTCTGATTGTACTGAGGCGATCAAATTGATTAGTCACATTCTGTGAGAGTCATGATTTTTTTGTACCTACAGAAATGAGCAGTGATAGGGCCATGGTTTTGTCCGATTTGAAGCCCCGAGTTAGGGCCGTCATATGAGATATTAGTTGCCATAGCCTTCGAATCAGGTCGACGGTTGGTGGTACCAGAGTTGGCGCTGCTAACTTGGAAGTTAACCCCGCAATCAGGTGACCGATGAAGTAGGTCAGCGGACCGAAAATTCTCAATTCATACTCCTGATATATCCACAGAGGTTTATGCTACATTGTTTCCCTGTCTATGATCATAATGAGTAGTGACCACGTAATGCTAGTTTACCTATAACCCGCTAAAAGAAATCCGTTTAATCAACGATCAGACAATGCCAGAAATAGAGTAATGTATTCTATTTCAAATACATTACACAAAAAAGATCATGTGACTTATCCATAAATACGTTTCACGATCTTACGGGAAATAAATTTAAAAATAGACTAGCGTGTTTCAAAATAGAGCTCGAGAAAGAATCGAAGAAAACAAAGAGGTGAAACTGATTTCGAGCGGTCCTGTACACTGGTCGCCACAATAATATTAGAGTATTTGAACCCCAACCTTATTACATCACCGGTGAGAGCCGCGGTATGCGTCTACCTACTGAGCAATTACGCAAGAGTGTTCAATGGCTAGTGAGGATTTGATGATGAGGAAAGATTGGTAGATTTGAAGTGACGAGAATGATATTTATACCCTAGATAGGAGATTGCGTTCTGAGAGTGCGAGGAATATGACACGACCTGATGAACAACCGATTGCCAGCGTTGCTGCAGATATACTGAATGAAAAAGGGCTGGATGGCCGATACTCTGGAGGTAACCATAACAGGTATGATCCATTATAGGTTATCCAGGAAGAGCCGTCCCTCAAGCCAAATCCATACATTCCTGGTAAAATCGAACAACTGGCGTTGAGCCCAATAGGCGCAGTGGACCCTAAATTTACGGTGCCAAGTATTGTGTGAAGATGATCGGGCGTGCTTTTATCAAATTGGAGGTGGGGAGAGTGAATATCAAGGGTAGACATGCACTGGCTGGTTACCGGATCCCAGATCCTAACGGTCTTATCATTAGACGCTGATGCGAGTCGGCTTCCATCTGACGACCAGGCAATCGACAAGATCCAGTCACTATGCCCCTCGAAAGTAGACACGCACTGGCCGGTGGCCAGATCCCAGATCCTTACGGTCTTATCACTAGACGCTGATGCAACTCGGCTTCCATCTGGCGACCAGGCAATCGACCAGATCCAGTCACTATGCCCCTCGAAGGTACACGCGCACTGGCCGGTGGCCGGATCCCAGATCCTAACGGTCTTATCATCCGACGCCGATGCGAGTCGGCTTCCATCTGGCGACCAGGCAGTCGACTTGACCGATTTACTATGCCCCTCAAGGGTTTGGAGACATAAACTCCAGGTTTCACTTACCACTGGGCTGTTCAAAATCCAACCCGGTTTCTCTTTCTGATAAGACTCCCTCGTGGTACTTTTCGTTGGGCTAAAGACAAGTCCTGAACTGTACACTTGAAGGGGGCTACTTTCGATTGCATGTCTGTAGTATCGGATGAATCGGGACGCGTCTTGAACTCGGCCTAGCAGGTCCTGTGACACCTTTTTTTTCTATAGGGCCTGGTTAAAGTCGAGATATTTTCGGGATTTAAATAATCACTCACTTGGAGTAAGTCCTCCAGCTTCAGTATAGCGGTTATTCCTTCCGGTACATATCCCAAAATGCCGAGGCTTTCGAGCCACTGAAGATATTTCTGCCTTAGAAACCTATCCACACAGCCTTCATCATCGAGGCCTTGATATTTATCTTCACCACACCAACTTTCTAAAAGGTGGTCGACCCAATACACACACGCGTATTCTACAGCTGCCAGAGGATTCGGCCGTGGGTATGTGAATTCCTTTGTTGGAATTCCGACAAGCTTAATATCAAGGATATTATGCTGAAGTGGCTTGAACATGGCTTGTGGAGATCGCGAGAAAATTGCAAGATGTTCAAGTCCTTGGTTCTCCGGAAACACCTCGCTTCGCGCCCTTTAGAGCAGGTATTCCTTTGCAGACTGATGGACGAAGAATCCGGGGAAAAGCTTCCACTCCATGTGCCTGGGGTGGGGGGTTGGGGTCGTCGCCTAGACCTAAGTCCCACGTGACCAATGGCTCACACCAGGATTCCCAAAAACAAGGTTTAACTTCGCCTCTTTAGGCACACCTGGTTCAAACTCCCAATTGGTACGATTTGCTCGCTCTGTGACTAATCCTCGCCTTTGCGGGCCATCACTATCCACCTTTTGGACCCCGTGGCTATAGTATCAAGAAGTGACGTTACCAAGCTTCCGGCCAAGAAGAGTGGTAGATTCTCATTTCAGCTGAAGCAGTATGATATTGCAGTCTTCACTATTTTCTAAAGAAGCGTCATGTTATGAAACCCCCAGGCTCAACGCCCTAATGTGAGGGAAAGAGTCTTGATAACCAACCAATTTGGGACAGTCAATAAGCCCATAATTCCGAAGATCATTTTGATTTCCGCACTCAGAGTTCGGTGCAGGATCCATACGAAATCAGCATTTGCCCAACAACAACGAAACCACCAACAGCCGGTACAATAGGCAAAACCACGGGCAATATAGAAATTAGCCTGAATAAGAAAAACCAGGCTTGATAGAGACGGCTATATTCTCTTCTTTCCTCGATGAAACCGCGGGTGCCATAATAACCTAGCTCGATCATCCTGTCTGTATACCACGGATTCTGGACAGACACAATTCCTACAGCATACCAAGCCATGAGCCATGCTCTCTGGGACACTGTGCTACCTCCTGGTTGAAATTTTGACATTACCCCGATTGCGATCAAGGGCAAGGAAGCCACTATCACGGTCAGGCCAGAGATTATCCATTCTCGCGGGCCATAATGTTTATTGATGTTGAGGATGCTCATGGACGAGGTGTTTGAGTAGGATAGCTTGAAGTTGTAGCAACTGGGAATAATCAAAATAGGATCGGAATTCTCGTTTGATGACCGTTCGCTGCTGCGGTCCTGCTTTGATTGTACTTCTTGCTTCTGTATATCTTCGACTGGAGGTGAAGTTATCTCTGGGAGATCAGCCGGAGCTGACAAAACCGATGTACTCCCGTGGACAGAATTCTCGCCGGCTGATTCGGGCGTTGAAGTACCGTCGGGAATGGGCTCAATGCTCCCATCTTCCAGTACCCTATCTCCGATCCGGCAGAGAATGTCGTCATCGTCGTCGTTGTTCCGCTCGAATGTAGCACTGAATACTGTCAAGTCCTCAACGAGCAGCGGCTCACTCTCCAATTTGCCAACAATATCAGTGAAACGACCGCCACGCCTTACTGCCTCTTCCATGATCTCTGTGTGAACGAGATGTACATTTGAATACGTCGGAGTAAAGCAATTGGCGAGCAAATTCACGAAGGACATGACCAGATATGGGGTCACGGTGAATCCAAATGCAGCATACCCATAGGCAGTTACTTGATAGCCTTTTGATTGGTACAGGGCCGAACAAGCTGACAGCATTTGAACAATAGAAATGACAGTGGAAGCCAGGCTAAACGAAGACTGGAGAATGCGGCCCAGTTCGACTTCTGGCATAACATTCTCCACCATTGCATTGGGCGGGACATAGGCAAGCCGATAGCCTTCTGGCAGATCGCACACCCCAGAGACATGATAGCCTCTTTCCACCAAGACGTGCTGACTGGTGAGTCCGTAATTCATGATCAGCCATGGCGGGTGCGCAACTTGAGTCCAAAAGTCGCCTGTATATCCCTTACTAAAATGCCATTAGGAAGAAACGGGCATGGAAGCGCTCGGAGAACGTACAATTTTTCCACATGGGGTTTGATCCGATTTTTACAAACGGCTGAGGTAAGGTACTCTCTGATTAGCTTGATGTATAGTAAAGGCTTTCTTCGAGGTCTAATAAACATACCTGCCCGCCAGTACGCGCTTGCACCGAAAAGTGCATATTTAGGTCGAATCCCTCTTGGCGGGTACAAAGTAAGTGAACGGAGAGTGTCTCCGGCTTGCGGCTCCCACATCGAGCCCCGAACTACCATAACCAGAGCTTGGGCTCTCAGAGCCTGCTGAAGCTGGTCTTTGTAGAAGCTTCCTCGTTGGTATATCATGACGAGGCCGCGTCCAGCTCCAAGGCAAGGAAATAACAGAACGAAGAACATATTTGCCGCAGTGATGTAAAGAGGTTCACCAGGTACCCTGACAACGGTCGCGACATGGGAAACATAGTTACTCAAGAAAAAGGAGACAACATCCGTCCACGCCGTCGACGTGCAAATATCTTGCGACTCAGGATGGTACGTGACGCCATCGGGTATAGTAATGGTCTTGTCACGCTTGGGTAAATAGGCGGCCAGAGAGCCACATATCGACCCTAAGAGCGCCCATGAAAGTACCACACGTTGTGCCATGAAGACGGCGCAAGATGGCCACTATGTGGGATGTGTGTTGGGGGCCGTGCAGGTGTTGGGTAGAAGGTAGCGTTCAGTGCCTCCTGAATTTTGCGTTAGGGGACCAAGCTATTTTAGCGTTTACATAACAATTTCCAACTCGCTTAACTATGCTTACTTCTTTATACATTTATATATATGTGTATCTTTTATAGAATGATCCGGTCACCAATCATCTATCCTCAAAGCTCCTTAGTTGGACTGCAACTGATCTACTTCAATATCTTTCACGTTCAATCTCCTCGCAAGTTTGGCGGGGCTGAGCATAACGGCCCCCACTTTGTTGCAATTTGGGAAATAGCGCTGACCGGAATATCCGAATGGCCTCCCCGAAGGCCCCCATGTAAGCGATTTGTCATCAACACGTAGAAAAGTTAGAGGCAGACGAAGCTTTTGAAAGTGAAGACAGAAAGGAGGGGTATATTGAAGACATGGCTTCTAATATCTAAAGAGGGCTACGGGGTATTCTAGGTAATTTAGAAGACCAATATCACAAACATGAAGCCTAAGATAGGCCACCAGGATGACTACCTACAAGGACAGAAAGGCTCAGCAAGCTAGTAACCTTCTGAACACTTTCAAATCCATCCAACTGATTGTCTCCGTTGATTCGTTGATTTGAACTCTGCTCTTCTCATTCTTCCCCTACCATTTCACGCACCATCCATCGAACATTGAACCATCATTGAATTGTCGAATCGTTATCAGTCTGTGCTCCTCCTGAGAGGTACTTGCAGAGTATGACAGCTCCAGTAACTCTACCAAAAACAAACAAGATGATACTTATTGCTAAGCTTCTCGTTCTGGCATTAACTGCTGCCGCCTCACCTATCCTTCGCCGCGATGCCGTTACCCTCCAGAACGATATAACACAAAGTATCGTCCCGCAATATACATCCCTTAAGAACGACATCAGAGCTTTCCCCGCTAGTGGTTTACCCGGAGCATCTGCTATTCGGAGCGATTTTCAAGATCTTACTGCTACCGTGAATAGTGCGATTAGCGAAATCCAGAACACCGCCCCTTTTTGCGCTTTATCTGGATTCGCTATTCTTGCCGACGTCCGACAATTTATGCCTGCGTTGTTAAAATGCAAAAGGCTTGCATAAGGCTGATATAAGGCTGACATAAGGCTTACAACACATGACAGAGCTTTTATATATGACGTTCGTTGTCGCTCGAATAATCTTTTGTTAAAGAAATAATAAACCATCTTGTTTAAGTTCCTTTACTCCTCCCAAGTGTCCTTTTGAATATGGCAGACCTTAAGCCCCCTTTTACTGAAGAGACTGCGAGGAAAAAGGTCAAATTGGCGCAGAATCTCTGGACCACTCAGTAAGTCAGCTGTTCTTATATAGGACCTACCAATATACTTGGCACTGATCCCTTGTACTCGTATTCATTGGCTATGGTGGGCTGTGCCCATTCTATGCTTGAAGTATCCCTGGAATGAGAAACCGTTCTTGAACTATTGCCTCGCCCTATCCCTTGCTTGCCTTTTCTGGGCACCACATTGCACTCTGATCTTTTTTGAGAGCACAGAGCCGCTTTGTTTCTAAAGTTGGAAGTTTAGCTTCATACATGACGCTTAGTGTTGTCCCCAGGCTCTAGCTTATTGTTTTTATAGGGACCCTGTTCGCGTCGCGCAAGCATACACTCCGAACTGCATCTGGCGCAACCGCACCTCGTTTCTCTGCGGAACGGAGGGTATCATTAGCTTTCTCACGGCTAAATGGAACCGGGAGCGCAACTATAGACTCCGGAAAGAGTTATTCTCATTCACAGATGATCGCATTGCTGTTCAGTTCTGGTACGAGTTCCAGGACGCCGAAGATGACATGCGCTGGAAGCGGTGCTATGGACTGGAAGATTGGACTTTCAACAGGGAAACTGGGAAGATGCGAAAGCGCATGATGTGTGGCAATGACTTGTTACTCGGCCCTGATGGTAACGGTGATGGTCGGTGGTTTGTGGAAGGAGTGGATGTTGAGGACGTGGACATTAGCAAGGAGCACTGGTGATATTGCTCGAGCTTGAGATACTGCGCTGATTGGAAAAACACTACGGATGACCTATTGATTCCGCTATTCCAGTCTAAAAAAATATCGTCAAAATATAGTCGAAATATTTTTCACCATTAATTGACTGGACGCTAGTAGAAGGTTAATGATTAGGATACCGGCACGCGCCAGTGCGCCAGAGCAAGATCCCATCAGAACTCATATTTCGCCTCAGTGCATCCCTGCGTGGAACTTGTTCACCATTCAGTACAGTACAACGACTTGATCGTTTCGACTCGTTGTGACTAGGACAATCCCTAGGATTATGCGGCATTGTAAGTGTCGCCCAACGAGAAATAGAGTCGTTCAAAGACTACGCTGTACAAAAGCCACCTAAGTGCACTTTCAACGATTGACGAAGTCCTTGAGATCTGTATCAGCTTACACGAAAGGTCCCCCAGATACCAATAACTGCAGCAGAAGGCAGGAACCACGAGCAAGACAAGCTAGAAAGATAAAAGCCTACCGCTATCAGACCTCTACCGTACAGCTGCGGCATAACTTTCGATATTAAAGATGTAAATAGGCAAAGCTATGCTTAAAAGGGAAGAAGAGCAAGAATACGCAAAGGATGCCACAAGCCAGATCGCCAGAGCAACGACCCCTCGGGTGGTCCTGCCTGGAACATTCTGTATAGGTTTACAGTATTTTACACAACTTTGAATTCTCATTAATACCAGAACCCGATACAGCTAAGAAGCGGCTGTTCCAGCATAACTAAATAGAGCCTAGCGTATACTCTGGTACGGGCCGAGAAACAAAGTTAGTGTGTCCAAGGGGAAGCCATCTGGGTCAACAACAATAGAGCCCGAAAGCCATAATCGCAGCAAATTTACACATCAATCCGATCGAGAAACGGAATTGGTCGATTCATTACCAGACAGACTGAACGAATCTACAACACACGCGAATAGACGGTCAGTAAATGAGACGAGTCTCCATACATTTCTGTTCCCCAAATCTGATTAATCTTGTCCAGACCGTCGGAGCAAGTGAAGCAAGGCACCTTCCTAACTCTATCCGAAAGAGCGAAGCGGATGGAAAGAGGCAGACCATGGGAAAGGAAGCCTGCTAAGCGACTGCTCAAGCGAGAGCTGGCTAGCGAAATCGAGACCCTAAAGAGCGAGATGGAGGATCTTAAACAAAGGGTCATCGCATTGCAGCCGCTTCTGTCTGAGCGAAGCAGGGGGAAACGAGTGACTTTCCAGGACGAACTCAGCTAAATAAATTCCAGTCCCCTTGAAGATTTTCGACGCAATGAGAAACTTCCTTTTTCTTCTGAAATATAACAGTGAGCATCTTCGCAACGCATAACCTGCAGTAGAAATTCTCTTACTCATTGCCCGAAGACTAAGGGTGAAAACATGATTGACGGTGGATTGCTAGCGTTTCTATAGCAGTTCCCAATGAATGACATGCGCATCTCATAAGACTAGAGTTGTTGCTCCCTCGTCAGTCCTGGGAATCGCTGACTTGTCACGCTCCATCAGGATAACCTCTCCGCGATATACAGCAATAGCTTGAACATGACATTGGATGAGAACGCCGAGCCCTGCATGGCTTGTAGTCGCTTGACGTAGAACACGCTTTTTCTTCGACAAATTATGAGAACTCGATAATATTTCAAAGCCAGTCTATAATTTATCCCCCATAGAAGCCATATAGCCTCGCAATATAAAAGCCATCCTTGGTAAAATCGAACACATAGTGGGTCTAGATCGGTGCGCACCCAGGGGAATGAAGAGGATATCAAGAAGAAACGCAAGAATCACATATCCAGGACCAACTGTGAAATTCTGGATAGACACAGCAACGTACTACTTACAGTGCCGTGTAATGAAGCCCGACTGCATCTGGACCATTGAGGACTCTTGTATCGAGTCGAGAACGCACACACATGCTAAGATAATGCGGGCCTCGGGACAAATCCTGGAGGCCCTCTGCTGAATGGAAAATAAATCAACCGAAGTGAGTCAGTCTAGCAAAGCCCTTGGAAGCAATTTTTTACCCACCCAACTAATTGACAAACCGGGGGATGCCATACTATTGGGAAAAGCACATGACCCTATCTGTTCAGGCCTGGAACAAAACTACCGTGCGGATTGATATCTGCAGATCGCCTGGCGTACCATGGATCAGATACCCGGGGAAATTTTGTGAACAACAAGTGGGTCTCACCGTTGAAAGGTGATGGTCAATTACTGCGGTGCGTATCGTGAACGTTGAGGACATTCCTGTCGTAAATAAAATGTACTCGACTTTCTGCCCTGCATCTGGTTGTGTGGGAGACAGAAGACAAAGTGTAGACTTCTAACGTTGGCGCAGAGGGAAAGCGTCGAACCCCATTCGCCCGCAAGTCTCCCGTATGGCCGTCCAGGCCGGCCCATGTAACAGCTGAGTCTCCATCCCGCTAGGTGTTTTCAAATTAAAATCCTCATTATTCAACGGTGTGATGAAGGTGATACACCGTAAACAATATCAATGCGGGAGACAATGTCGAAGAAACGGATCCAAGGGGGCGGCCCGTCTGGATCTCTTTCATCCACGGTTCGGGGTGGAGCGCTTCGTGAGATTGGCCACAACCTCTAAAAGCATGCTTCAACGGCTGTTGAGTCAACGGCATCGACAGCAAAAATGCTGTGACTACAGCACAATACATGACTTTTTCCAAGAGATTTGCATACCTGGCAGCTATGGTCAGGCGGAGGCGAAAAGGCATAAAAGGAGGCTGCATGACCGGTCTGCGAAATCAGGACTTGGATCCTCATCCTCCACGACAACATGGCCTTGTCTGCTTGCAGGCCTTGCCTTGAGGTCTTGGCTTTTGCCGGTGTGAGCCCAGTGAAGTAAGAATGGCGCTTTTTGCAGGATGAGCTCTGCGAGACCACTGTTCTCCGCAGGATGAGCTCTGCGAGACCAACTGTTCTCCGCAGGATGAGCTCTGCGAGACCAACTGTTCTCCGCAGGAGACCGCTGCGACACTAAGTTCTCCCTCATAGCCTTGAGCCCTGTGATTGTATAATTCTGAGCTTCCATGCAGCCTTGAGCCCTGCGGTATCAAATTTGTGCTCGTTTAGGCGACCCGTGGCGCCGCGGTCCTCACCTGATCCTCTGGCGACATGCAGGCACCTCTTCGCGGTGTCAGAGACTAGTATTCGAGTTACTCGAAGAAGCCAAGACCTGCTCCAAAGAATGCATATAAACGAAGAATCTGCTCAAGAGCGTTGTGTGTTATATGGTTGTGCTTGTTCGTAGAGTTCACTATTCGTATTCCTTCTTCGCGTAGGGGATTTTGTAGCCTTCAATCACGCTCGGAGCTTCGAGGATGGGCATTCCCTGGCATGCAATGCCATGTAGAAAGTCTATTGGATGATTAGCGCGATTGTGATCCGGTACATGATAGCGTGGGCCAATCTGGGTGATGTCTGCAACTCGAGCAGACTCCATTGGTGCGAAGGCTTGTCCAGAGGCTGGCTAGCGGTGGCGGCAGGAGTTGTTCGTCTGTGGGGGTTGCGAGTATTGCGGGCATCGAGGATGGATGACGCTTGTTGAGGGTGAGGATCGAAGGTGAGGCTTGATGCTAATTGACAGTATAGTATGATATGGTGAGGGCTAGAGGTGAGTGAGTATCGAGGGTGGACACTGGTGATAACCAGGCCGGACCAGTGAGTCCTGTTGTTGATGTTCTGCGGCGCAACTGCCGAGCGGTGAGGTGGCTGCCAACGGTAATTAACTATCGCCGCCCTAGTCGTTCTTTCGCGGATTCAACAAGAAAAACAGTGCGAACTGAGTGAGATCTACGAATTTTGTAACGCATCTAGTGTAAATTTCCAATTCTAAAATTACGTGAAGTTGTGCATTCTCGATAGTAAATTCTGTGTTTCTGGCATCACTTTTCCACGCGGCTCAAGTCGCCGCGTGCTCTAGGATAATATGCTCTTCTCAGCACCCGAATGTGGAGTCCACGCTTTTCAACGCAGTCGGATTAAGACAGATTGATGTTGACAGTCTATGAGGTCATAGTATTTTCCTTGAATCAACGGTGACCGTGAGTTCAACCATGAGCTATTGCTGGAACCAATTCTGGCAACCGTTCTTCAACAGGACTTCTCTTCTCACCGCGGCGTTGACTCAACGACCGCACCCGCAACATCACCGTTGCATTTATGTGATATTACTGATATTCAATGTTCAATATACGTGATGCCCGCATCATTCTTGCCTCTGCTACCAGACCGGATAATCGACGACTCGCAAGGAACGGACTTTCTAAACGCATCGCGAGTCACGAATCTGCCCATGCGGGCGCGTAGGTATCAAAATGCGGTCGCACTTCCTCCCATAATTGAGGCATGAAAGATCGTTTACTCAGACCGAGGTATCCATTATTTTTCTCATCGCAACTCGACAAATCCTGAGTCTTTTCCGATTGTTGCCTCATTTGCATGGCATTGGTGGTGTACTGATAGTGGTTTTTCCTACGCCAGACGATGGGAACTTTTTTAGCGCCGGACGGGCAAAGCATAAACAAAGTTCGCCCAAGGGAGGTACGCGTCGCGGGTGGAGCGCGTTGTCTCCACAACTTTCCCGCCTTTTCTTTAACTCTCTTTTGGGGTCACCGCGCTCTTTGAGCCAGTTCTAATTTACATGTCGGAAGAGCCTGCGTTTCCCTCCGTGACTGGCCACCCATCGGACGTCAGCCGTCCATGAAAACAAGGATCGTAGGCTGAGCTAGCCCGATCTAGAGTAGCCACGTAGCGATTGCGGCCTCCCGGTCTACCATGCGTTGCATAATGGGCTTTGAGGTTGTCGCTACGGGTGAAGCGGCGCTGGCACTCCGGAACCCAGCAGACGTATGACCTCTCAGACAGGTGGCTGGACAGATGACGCTGTAGGCCTTTGAGATATCGAAAGCGACTACTGCACCTTGCAACGGTGCATTTGAATTGCCGCCGCGGGTGTGGCTGGAGTGCTCGCGGTCGCCGCAGACGAGGCGTGTGAACTCCTCAAAGTCTGGCCAGGACGTCTTCCTCCAACCGCCATTAGGTGTTCCAACAGGCGTGTTTTCAGTTATCATCGACTTGGCAACACTGTATGGTTCGACAGTGGGATTCCTCGCGATGAACTCGACCTCAGACTCGAGGTCAGACCCATATTGGAACCAGTCCATACTATGAGTTTGATCTTGCTGGACAGGCGCATAAGAAGAAGATTCCATGTCGGACCAGAAAGTGTTTTGAACATAACTCCAGTCTACTGGAAATTGCCTATAATCGGCTTGGAAGCCAGGCCATTGACAGCAGGAGCCTTCCAGCCTGCAGGAAACGTTCCAGTCTGCGTAGGTTGTTTAGTGATTTGCTTGAACCAACCGCTCTGTACAGACTAGACGTGATAACTTACCATTCTCGCTGTTTCCCCCACTGTCCATCGACGAGGATGTGTCGTCAAGTTGTAGGTGCATTTAGCAGATGGGAAGATTGTTAAGCTTGCACATAAACAAACGCAGTGGCCCCGAGTAGATTGGGAGATATATATGAAGGCAAGCCAGCAAGATACAGTGGATTTCGAAAACAGTTTACCCCCCAGACACACACGTTTACTCTTACCTTCTTCTTCTGCCGGATTGCAAAAAGAAAGGTCGCCCGACCCCCGGGACCTCCCGGACCCCCATCTGAGATCATCCCCTTCCTTCTAGGGACTCCAAAAGGCGCTATTAAACTAGCCGCGTGGTTCTCAGAGTCCCGCTTCTTTGAGGACATCTGCCCTCGACGCCCTCTTCTTAGCACCTGAGCTAAGCACTTCTAATAACTTTCTTTTTAATATCTCTTTTGTCTTTCATTTCTCTGTTGTCATTCTTTATTTCTTCTCCTTTCTGTCTTTCTCTTCACTTTTTAAGTTCTATCGGAGTTGAACAGGTTAGATTCGGTCATGGGGAGTAGGCGGACCACTGCAGCTGGCACCAACGTCAGACCTGTACACACTACAGGTCATCCATCCGACCACGGCAGCTATGGAAAAGCGCCAAGGAGTCACATTTTGTAACTAGTTTCTTGACACCCAGGGCTTACCCCCTGGCGGCCTTTATCCCAGTAGGGAATTGGTAGGTAGTGCTTAATCACAACCTACGGCCGTAAAATAATGACACACACACACACACACACGTTTACTCTCTCAGAGACCCACTTTGGCGCCTAGTCCGGATCGCCCGGGTTCTAGATTCTCCTGCAGCCAATGATATGGCGTTAGACCTCGGGGAAGGGGCTTTATTTAGCCAGAATTAGCTTAGCGCAATATTAGTGGGGTGTTGGGAAAGAAAGCGTGTGTGACCGGGGGGTAATCTGTTTTCGAAATCCTCTGTAAGGCACTGAACGTAGCTAGGAGAGCACCAGATTAGCGAAAGCTGTACTGTGTAGATATTCCAAGCAACCCGCTTTCCAAGAGGCTTGAATCGGGAAAGGTTGATTCAACTAACCGTATAGTACTGTAGCTGCACGGTCTAAGAGGGAAGTGGTTTCACTGGGGCTCTGGTCCGTTGATTCAACGTTCAAAAACCGTAATCACCGTATTCAAGTTGTTTATCTTGGTTCATTGGAATATACATCGAAAAGATATAAATCATGCAACATCATGAAGCGACCAAGCACCATTCTCGACCAGACATGATACACACGATTCAGCATGGACACCCCCAATATCATCAATCCTGCCGAAGAGCTACCTGAGATTCAGTCCGCAGGGGGCCATCCTCCCGCCGGCGAACCTATCATTCACATGGAACAGCACCCGCAGATTGAAGTCGATCTACCCTCCGGCCCAGCAATCATGAGTAGGACCAGCATAAGCATGTATATGAATAAGCTGACTCGTGGCCAACAGCCCGATAACACAGAGAGACCTTCCTTGAGGGACCAGCCCTTTGCACCTGCGATGGAGGCTCTCGCGCGGCTCGAACGTGAGGACCCGAAGCTGGCGTTCCAAGCCGCAAGACTCGTCGGACTGTATCGGCGCCTGTGGGAGTCATGCATGGCAAAGCATATGGAGGGGAAGAAGTTGGCCCAAGCAAATGACGACCTGAGGGAGACTCAACAAATGCTGACGAACGAAAAGAACAGAATGCAGTCAAGCCATGATAACCAGCTCGCTCAGTTGCATTTCTTGGATCAGGCGCTGGAGTCATCTCGACTCCGTTTGAGTGAAATACTCAAGGAATGGAATCGTTACAGTCATTCTCGAAATCGGCTTCACCAGTACACTCTTCGACTCTCTTTCTCAGCCCCACCGCCAAGGTCTTAGCGTACATAATTTAATAAGCCCACCGCATTAAGTTGCGGTCCGGTGATCTCCCCGAGCTTGCCCGGTGACAATTAAACCCTGGGGCCGCCTCAGTTTGATGCGTCCAGCCCAATAGATGTTCTGCGCTAAAGGCTTGGCAGCGGGGCCGAGGAAGAGAGTCGAAGAGTGGACTGGTGAAGCCGATTTCGAGAACGACTGTACTCTGATGGCCTCGAGGCAAAGCTTAGTGATTAAAGAAGTGCTAGTGAACCGATGGCGGCAGTGCAATTACCATTTGATGGTGGGAGTTGTTTGTGGAAATTGATGAGATGGCCATGTTTCAAGGGCTTTTGAGCATTCTCGTTCCCCTCCATGCAAGACATAAATTTGTGCACAGTTGACAAGCGCAGAACAAATAAGCCGTCGTTATTATTGTTAAGAAGACGAAAAAGCGACTGGGATTCACCCGCATAGCGTCCCGAGGATGAAGCTGAGTGTGGTTAGCCATACTGCAGGGTAAAAAGAATCATAGTTCTCACAACGATACCACTCTCCGGCAAATCGTCTCCCAAGCCGCAGCAATACTATTCTAATGCCGTTTCAGCGATCTCAATGCTGGAATTCGACTGTAATTAAAGGGGTGGAGGGTGAGGGTAGAGCTGTATTTTTTCTGAAGCCATCGGCTTGGTAGTTAAGAACTTGCGCACGAAACCAGGCACAGTAATGCTGAGAACAGCAAAATAAAAAGAATTACGAAACAAAGCTAACGAACATACTACATACATGTTGGACCAGGAATGAGGAACACAACTCGGCTGGTATCCTATTGCATCGTGTTTACAAGACTAGTTCAACTCGATCATCCTAGAAGCGCGTTTCTCGCTTGCCTTCAAAGCCTCGACGATCCCATCATTGAGGGCAGCCGCGGCTTGCCGGCGACCGAATAGCTCCAGAGCCTGATCATTACAGCACTGGAGTAACATATCGCATTCAGCGGTCAGCCATGCAATTGACCGCTGAAGCTGACCTTGCTCTTCTTCGAGCCGTATCTTCAGTGCAGAATCGACAATATAACAATTCCATAAGCAGAGGTACAGTCGTTCTCGAAATCGGCTTCACCAGTCCACTCTTCGACTCTCTTCCTCGGCCCCGCTGCCAAGCCTTTAGCGCAGAACATCTATTGGGCTGGACGCATCAAACTGAGGCGGCCCCAGGGTTTAATTGTCACCGGGCAAGCTCGGGGAGATCACCGGACCGCAACTTAATGCGGTGGGCTTATTAAATTATGTACGCTAAGACCTTGGCGGTGGGGCTGAGAAAGAGAGTCGAAGAGTGTACTGGTGAAGCCGATTTCGAGAATGACTGTACCAGTCGAGAAGGCTGACGGTGGGAGCCGCGAGGGAGATGTGATGATTCAGAATATATTCAAACTCTGTGGAGAGGCTTGCTGAAGTCGTGGGACCCTGTATTCGCTCGGATCAGCATTGCTATTTCCATGTTTGCGTGGCTCTTAGACCTGGTTTTCGCTAACCCAAATGGCTTTTCCAGGTGTCCGATTGTGTGATTCCTTCAGCCTCTCATCATCCGCATTTGCATAAACGCGTTGTCTTTTGGACTGCGACGTGGGAGAGGACAAAGGTCGTTTGGGAGAACTCATGGTGGTCGATTGGTGGCTAGATGGGAGCCTCTCATGAGTGTGTTAAATACATCGTGAAAATCTTCATTATACAGCGTGTGTCGTGTCTATCAGCGTAATATTTGTAACTTTCAACGTTGGCGTTCACGGTTTATTGACCTCTCAATGCCCTCACAATCAAGTTGATTCAACGTTCAAATCTGGCCTCGTCGTACCATGCCCTTTGACTGATGACCTCGGCCGGCCTTGGCTCTCAGATTGTTACATGTAATCCATAGCCTCCGCAGACATCTGATGTGACTTTTGCAAGTGACCAGGGGAAGTAGACCTTCATCGCGTTCGTCGCGAATGTGCCTCTCGGGCTGGATCACCTTTCTGTCTCTAAAGCGTCCGTACAGTACGTCGCGAAACCGGTGCAACAACACCACTCTCTGAGTAACTTTTCTGAGTAACTTTTCTGCCGCTTAACGCCAAGATACACTAGTCTTTATTTAGAGTTATTCCGGGAGTTACGCATGTATTCACTCGTACGTAAGTTACAAAATAATTTCAGGCATACAGTGACACAGCAAAAATTTTAACACCCTTTGCCCCACACCAGCTGAATTATGTAATATTCTGCCTGTTGGAATCCTCTCCTGAAGCTAAGTGATTGGCTACGGGTGGCATCTACTACGTTTTCAGGCAGGCGGTATGTCACGGATTCAGGCGGTCTGGTAGTGGGTCCCGAGGGGGTGTTAATACTTTTGCGTAGTCACTGTATATCCATTTGTAAATTCAATACATCTGATATCTCTATGCCCCTCATCCGGTGCAGCTTTCTTCTACACTCGTAGATTAGTATTTTGACTCATATTAGAGTTACGTCCAAAAATAAATGCCCTTGGCCAAAATACCCATTTAAGCAACCTTGATGACAGGGAGTCTTCAACATCGGACATCAACAATCGGGCTTTAGAGCCAATGAACCAATAGTGTCTCAGACAATGAAGCTGTGCACAATAGTAGGCAATTACTATGAGAGCAATTGGATCTTTGCGATGCATAAGATCAAAGACTGCTTCATCAAAGGAAAGAGGCAAGACAAATGCCATCCCGCATTGAAATGGTAATTCAGCCCTTTCTAGTAACCGAAACGATGATGTCAGGGCTGAAACAGCTTGGTGGGCAATCTTTCTTTTTTCAGGCTCTGAAATTTCCGTCAAAATGAATTGATTCAGGCCCAAGAGTTGATCGTATACACCCACAAAGAGGCCGTTTTTGGGGTATCTGTGAAGATTACCAAGAAGTCAGAAATGTCTTGTCCTTAGTAAGCAGTAGAACGAATGAGGCCAAGAAGTTATAATCGCTCTTCCCATAGAAGTTGTGTTTATACGAGAAAAAGAAAATCAATGTGAAACGTACTCTTCAAAGCATGGAGCATATTCTGGGCTCAGAAGAGGCTCAAGGTCGTGCGGTTCCACCAACTTCAAGTATGGCAAAATTGTGAGAGTACCACGACACAGCCGGAAGCCAGTTAAAACATTATCCAAGACAGTGGAAGAATCAATCGTATCGCCCGTTTCTTGGAGAGAACCATATGTATATAGCATGATAGTACTGCAGAAGGCGAAAAGTGCACAGCAATTATCCCTGTTCGGAGACGGAAGAAGCTGTTGAAAGACGCGCAAGCCAAGGGACAAGTGAAGCCTTGAGGCTGTTAGATAATGACTGCACTTTTCAGGTTTGACGTGAGCTAGGTGCAGAGCAGACAGACAAAGAATCCCATGCATCAGAAACTCGAATGAATAGGCAATTCGTGGAATTACGATCTGCCAAACTTTTTGTATGTCCTCACTGTCGGAAAGAGTCATTGCCGTGCATACGATAAAATGATGCATAATCTCAAGGTCTTGTCCACTCCATTCTGAGTGGTGCGTGGCAGCCAGAATATTGTTCTCAATATCACGTAATACCTCTTGCTGATATGGTACGGCGGCAAGGCTTCTCCTGTGACTTTGTTCTCTGAGGAGTTCAGGTGGACATGACGAGCTGCTTTTTTCGTTGGACACTTCAGAAGGGGTCCTAGGATGAGTCTCAAAGACGCAGGCCATATCCCGGTTCACGCAATTTGAACATGGGAATATTTCATCGCACTGAATATCAAGGCAATTAGGTTGTGCTTTTCGCGTACACTCTGCCAGACCCAGATTCGACGCACCTTGACCCTTCTTTGTTTGCATTGGATGCAGCCGTGGCGTGACTTCCTGTGCGACCGTCGGGTAGGTGGCATGTCGGATCCACCGGGAACAGGCCCCGCTAAGATGCGTACATCGGGATAGTCAGAGGATCGAGAGAATCATGAATTCCTGCGAATTGGGCGGGGGTTGAGAAGGAACTTTCAGCTCTCACTGAGAGACGATTGTTGGGTCGAAACTCCTGCTGACGAAAGCACCTTGCAGCGAATACGAAAACGGTATGATAGCCGCGATAGCGGACTTGCCAAGCTTTACAGTACTGTACCAATACACGGTGAGTGTTTGGTAATATTGCATTGTGTCAAAGCGAGCTAAATCGGTATAGACTAGTATGCATTGGAACGAATTAGAACTGCCGGAATCATACAGAGAAAGTTTATTGATTGAAGAAAATGAAAGGACTCGAACGAATGGGAAAAGGGGCAGGTTGAGCTGTCCCATGGCGGTGTAACCGGGTATTGGAGTGACCATACCGCTGTCCACAGGTACCCGCATATTACATATAAAACGCAAGGAAAGATGGGTTGGTCATGGACCAATCCTATGTCACTGTAATATTCCACTCCACTTTTCCACGACACATTGTTAATCCATAATTTTTTACCAACCCAGAATAGGTTGATGTTAATTCTGTCTGGTTTAACAGCGTAGCCGATTGCTACTCTACATTTTGCAAAGAGAACAAAACCTACTTTGGTGACACGTGCGTAAAGATGACTATTTCATCGACCTGTATCCAAATTAATTCGACCGTCGCAAATGGAATTTCGTTGACAGGCCATTCAAGGCCCACAGAACTTTCAATTGAAGAGTGGATGGTCAGTCGGTGGTGACGATTACTGTGCGGTGGCAAACCAGACCCAATGATACCCCTTCAATGGGTGTACATGACAAGGCAAAGAAGCAATGATTTTACGATCCTGGTCAATAGTGAGCTTTTGAAAAACTCGATGTATCATTGAGTTATGGTCACCACTACCATAGTTCTACCCAACTAATAGAGCAGCGGTCCTAAATAGGATTATAGCATTGTGGATTTATTTCCTGGTGATCTAGTCTGAAGAGAATATGGTTAAACTGAAAGCGACTGTACAGAGTAGATGACTAAGATCTATCAAAATAGAGGATCTGTTCAATTATCTTGCCAGAAGGGCAAGAGGAGATTACCACGTGATTTTTCATAGGTGCTTAAGTCGGCTCGCCTTGCCCATTCAATAGTTTTGAAATATTTCTGCTTCGGAGATAGCTCTTGAATACGGTGGTGCATACTGTATAGTATAGTCCCATATTCGCTCTACTATTTCTTTGATTACTCTTAGTATAGTGCAAAGCTGTATTAGAAAACTTGTACTCAGGCCCAAGCTAGCAGTTTTAAATTGCACCTCGCGATTCCGGTACCAGCTTCATTTTTGTTGACTGTGCATTTTAGTCCGGCTATACCAAGTAGCGACCCAATAAAGCTCTTCAAAACATGTTGTCACACAAGTCAATATCATCACCCCAGGAATTGTTGGAGTTGGTAGACCGAGAATACCCCCTTTATCGCTTTCCCGCCAGCAGTGGGGTTAACCATCGCATTTATCTCACTTGGATGTGCGCAGACAAACACGGTCATCGTAAAGACCATTAATAAAGCATCGAAAATGTATAAATAGCTTCATGGCACACTAAATAACCATCATTTCCTTGGGCATATTCGATAAGGCGAAACATTGACCGAATGAGGATGAGAGAGCTGCCGCTGTAAAGTGCAATCATGTGTTTTTGCCAGGTAGACTGTGGCGTGAATGGACTTCCAACGGCGTCTTTAGACAAGCCAAGATGCAGTTTGATGCTTGTGAGAACAAAAACCGAAAAGAAGAGCAGCTGCACCACCAAGCCTCCAATAATAATATTCTCCCCCGTCTGGAGGGATGTCGCACTTCCACTTGCCATTATGCTGCCACCTTGCCGAGATTTAGCATGCTTCCAACAGAAAATGAAGCTCGTCACCTACCGGCACCTTGCATGATAAAAGACACGATATCTCCCATAAGGAATATTTTGGTTAACCACTTCGGCGGTACCAAGCTGTGGGCTTGACCATTCGTGAGGGTGACAATTCTTCCAAGCTCCATATAGATACTTGCTGCGAACAGGGTCGGAGCAATCAGGAGTAGCAAGGTTTGCAGGATATACGGCCCTGTTGTCCAATTTGGGCTTTGGTTGGCTGACTCGATCCTCTAGATCGATAGTTTTAGTTAGAAAGTCACGGAAGGTATCCAGGCTTGGGGCTCTTTCTAAAAGAGCGAACTGACACCGATGTAGCCAACGCATTCAACTGTAATCTCGTTAGAAAACTCGGTATATCCTTCAACTGATAATCTAGATCTTCATACAGAATCCACCGATCACAAACGGAATGAAAAACCAGGTTCTTGTTCGGAGCAGTTGGTAGGAGTGAATTGCAGCCAGGATAAAAAATAGAACAACAAAAACGATGGCGGCGCCAGCGGAAGGATTATATCTGTACAGTTTGAATTCGGTGGACGGATTCGTCATTTCGATGGCAACAAAATCAGAATGCTAAAGTTAAAGATAGGATAGAGATTATAAAATGCGAGATGAAGGATGAGTGTCAGACAAAGGAACGGATGAATCAATGGAGTAAATTAAAACTTGAGGACGGCGTTTGATATACAATAAATACAGAAAGAGGTTCCTGAGGAATTATCGCCGTTTTTTGGCGGGGGCCTAGGATCAAACTGGGACAGGGAAAAATATCCTAGAAAAAATTTCCCCTGGAGCACGTTTGTTGCTTTTACTCCAATTTTATTTGTTTGAACCGACTGCGACAGAGTTATCCACTGAACTAAGGTGTGGGCCTAGTAGGCGTACTCGTATGAATTTACGAAGGCTTCCAATATAATATCCCGAAAAGATGGTGTGTTTTATCACCGCTTTAGGTCAGGGAATAGAAAAAAAATATAAAATACATGGAAAAAACTTTATATTCTGGAACCAGGTCATTGTCTTAGCTCTAACTTTGGTTATTTATTGGACTGACAACAATAGAATACTTGATCGTGTTAAGGTGTGGGGCTCAAGAAGGCGTACTCGTATTAATTTACGAGTACGAGTACTACTACGAGAAACTCCATTATCTTGTTTTATTGCGAAACAAAGGAACCATTCAGATGACTGAAGACCCCATTTCAGGAGACCCTGTCTCATTCTCAAGTCTCTCTCAATCACCGATAGCTCAGCCACCTACCGCCAGTGCTAGGAACAGAGATTCTTCGTTCTCGTTCTCGTGTTTGCCAGTGACCTGAAAGCCGCAGCTATTTAAAGTCAGTAAAACCTCACTTGCAAGCATTGCCTCTTAGGAAATTTTTATTGTCTGAGCCACGGCATCCTGAAATTGCATCAGACAGCACTTGACAGAAAGCGTCCGGATCACTATTGGCTTCGATTCGATATTCAGTGTTCTTACACACAATGGCGAGCCCCAACTCGGTTGACTTCAAGTTATACCGATATACTCCATCCACCTCAGCAGCGGCAGTATTCGTGGCCTTGTTTAGTCTTATGACGCTTTGTCATCTCTTTCAGTTGCTTCGGAGTCGATCGTGGTATTTTCTGTCCTTTCTGACCGGCGGGATCTGTGAGTAGCTTCCTACTGGCTTTTTTATGATGAGATCAAACTTAGGGTGTGAAGCTGATCAGGTGATAACGTGATTAGTTGAGATTATTGGTTATGTCTGCCGGATCCTAGCTCACAACAATAAAGAATCGGTTCCGATATACAGCGTCATGACCATCTTGATTCTTCTCGCTCCACCGCTTTTTGCAGTATCGATCTACATGGTTTTGAGTCGATTAATCATTCACCTACGAGCAGAAGAGCTCAGCGCTGTTTCTGTGAAGTGGATGCCGAAGATCTTTGTGGTTGGCGACGTTGTGGGATTTGTAGCCCAAGCAGCAGGTAGGCATTATGGTCTATTATTGTCGGCGGTAAGAGAAGGCTTACCGGTCATATATTCTAGGTGGCGGTATCATGGCCAGCGGCTCGGTTAGCTCCTACAATCTGGGAGAACACATAACAGTTGCTGGTTTGGCTGTCCAGTTGCTGTTTTTCGCTATTTTCATGGTCACCTGTGCCTTGTTTCATTACCGCCTTCGAAGATGCCCAACTGCAAAGGTGATTCAAGTTAAAAGCGATAAAAATGGGAAGGCTTTCCGGACATGGGAATCTTTGCTAGTAGGCTTATATATATCTAGCCTTCTCATTCTTGTGCGATCAGTGTTCCGTTTGATTGAATTCGCACAGGGCAACGATGGATACCTTATCAGTCACGAAGTTTTTCTTTATGTTTTCGATGCAACTCTGATGTTTCTAGCTATGGCTGCTATGGCTGCATTTCACCCTTCGTCGATCTTGATTGATTCACGTGAAGACCAACCAGGAGCCGAATTACTCACTCGTTCTGCTTGATCGTTCATTACCAGCAATAATGAACGACTAAAGAACCTCTTCTATTGGAAACAAAATCATATCATTTACATCCACTGTGAAGTGACCGTGTATTCACAATGGAATCAATAATTGGTGTGGCATGAACTAGACCTGGGCAGAACCCATGGGCCGGCCCAAATGGGTCAACCCATTTAGGCCCATGGGCCAAAAAATCGACTTTCTGCCCATGCGTGGGCCGGCCCATTCGGCCCATTCGACCCATTTTAGGGCAAAAATTAGTGTGCATGTGACTTCCATAATTTATGCAGATTAGGCGAGGTCTTAGCTGTAATGCCTTGGTAACAAGACAAGAAACCCTCTCATATAACTATACAGGATGCTAGGATATTCAATTGAAAGAGGGTATTTTGATATTACTACAGAAATCATCAAGTTCAACTATATCTCATATCCATCCAATAACCTTGAACGCTTTCGAGCTCTTCCTGAAACACGCGGTATGTTTTGCTCAGGTAAATCAGGTTCGTCCTCTAGCTCAGGCTCCTCATCGGGCTTAGGCTCCTTCTCTGGCTCTTCCACAGGCTCATTGATACTCCTTCGCCTCTTCGAGTTATATTGGGAAGGCCCTTCCTCATTGTCACTAATCTCAATAATATCCTCTTGCGTACGCTCATCGATCTCTTCTTGTTGGAGATCTCTCTCAGACTCAGTTACGTACTCTCGAACGAAAGCAAGCTGCTCCTCTTCCAGATCAAACCGAATCCCACACATAAGAAGCATTAGATCCTGGATAGTGCTCGATTGTAGAGAACCACGGCGATAGTGGTAGATATCACGCGCGGAGTTAAAGAGACGCTCTACGCCTGCGCCTGTGGCTGGGACGGAAAGGATATCTCGAGCGAGGGCTGCGAGTACTGGAAATCTGTGTTCATGATCTCTCCAGAATTCGCGTGGGGGCATTGATACTGTGCCTGTGTAATATATTATGATTAGAGAGAGTATCTAGTTCAAGAATTGATATTATAAAAACCACTTACCACTCTTAAGATACTGAGTAAGCTCAGAGACTGGTGCAGTAGGCCGACTATCACGAACGAGTACTAGATCAATCTCACTCGTAGGCCCCGCGCTCTGTATACCACCAGCCTGTGAGAGAGCGCTATATACACTATTCTCGTAGTGTTTCACTCGGTCTTTGAGAGCTTGTTTGTATTGGGCAGCAAAGTCTTTTTCGTCATCCTGCCAATCTGGCGTTTGGAAGAATTCAAGTTTATACTGCGGCGCCAAAATTGTCCCAGTTGAATATATATCACTAAGACCCTCGAGGTCAGTCATCGTGTAATAGTCTCTGAGCTTACTTTCAGCAGATCTTAGAGCCTCAAGCATTTGTTGTTTCCACCCAATCTTCTTCCGTTGTAGCTGACGAATCCGTCTCTCTAGATGATCAAAGAGATGATTATAAATACTGAAAACAGTATGAATCGTCACATCCCTAGTCCTGAGGGAGCAGTGGTGAATCTATAGAAAGGCTGAGTGATACAGATCAGGTAATCAACCTGCCGCCACTCATCTAATGTAACCCGAAGATGAGAGTGATGAAATTCAGAGCAGAATGTATCAAACACAGATTGTAGCTTCTTAGCCCGGTGGAGCATTAAGAATGTCGAATTGCAGCGTGTCCGTACGTCCTGAATTGGGAATAATCGAGGTGTACTTGACTGTAGGTTTTGGAAGGATTCGCGGCGCTGAGGGCTTGCATTAATAAAGACAGCGAGGTTTCGGATCTAAGTAAGAGATTGTATAGTTAGTATATATTCAAAAGGTAGAAAGGATAGCTATAAGGTCGAACCTTCTTTAGCGTATTTGCCATGCTATACTCTCTTGCTGTTTGGCGAGCTATTTTCGTATGCTCTTCAGACCAGACTGTGTCAATATTCTCATTCACTGGGTTGGCTTTCAGTTGACCAAGAAGCTGCTTCAGGCTCAATTGGATCACATGGGCGAGACATGGCACTCGGATAACAAGAGTATCAGAGCCTAGGCCCTGTGATTGGAGAGAGTCTTGTAGGGATGAGATAAGAGTCGAGTTATTAGACGCATTGTCAGTTGTAACAGCTAATACTCGCCCTTTAATCTCGTGCTTTTCAAGTAGGTCTAGTACGTTTTTCAATATCGTAGTCGACAACCGATACGATATTCATTTTTTTTCACTATCGATGTCGTATGTACGATATCCAACCGACATCGGACGATATAGTTGGATATCGTACAGATATCTGCACTAGCATAAAATTCGCTAATTTATCCTATCCTGAACAATCCGGTGACAGTTATGAAGCTGACTCACTATTATTTTACAACTGAATGTTTACATGTTTGGTTATGACAGAAATCTTTCCTTATTTTCCTCACTTATCATGCAAAATCATAAGAATTAATATTGTATTCATAAGCAATTGTCGTCTATATAACAAATTGGATTTTATTCGGCGCGCGAGCGCGTTGAAGTCGCCTGAAATCTTAAAATTACTAGTTGATGGGTAGCTGTTAAGTGGAAATATATATCTGATGTTATGGGAATGTAGTACGCTGTCCTGCAAAGCTTTAATATACTATCTAAATCTATACATATTATGGTTTTGATGTTAAAAACAGTACTACTAGATTCGTGAGGGCTTATTCTTTTCATAAATCTATATAATTTAGTATATTTACATAGAAAAATAAGGCGCAAGTCATATTTGAAGTTAACAACTAGCGGACTTAGAAGTTTTTCTTAGTTAAAGCGATCGCGGGAGAGTCGTCCGACATCCAACAAATATCGGTCGGATATTGGATAGATCATCTAACAGATATCCACATTTGCTTATTTACACCCAATTAGTATTGAGTATTATCTTTAACATATTGAAATCACACAAGCGTTCACCTATTCTCCTATTTCTTTTTCGCTGAATTCCCTGTAAGCCCTCTACTCGTGAATCAGAATATTTTACACTCCCTGCCTGATCTTATTCCCATTATGTCTCAATCCCAAGCATCTGAGAGTCAATATACAGGATCCCAGTACGCTAATTCATTCATTGATCCAGACCTTCTGCAATCAGATGATTTCCTAGACGCGCCTAGTAGTCAGATTACAGCGCAATCAACTCCTTTCTCTGAATTTCCCCCTCCAACTCGATATCCTCACGCGCCCGATTCACTTGCGCGTATCGTCTGTAAGTCCCGCCAGCAGACCTATATTCTCTACAACAACGATAAAAGCGATCGAACAATGGACGAATCTCGGAAGCAGTTTGTGGAATGGTGGTTGATGACTGAGTTCGGCGCTAAGAAAGAGCTTCAGAAGTCTGTTCACTGGGATAGTCATCTCAAAAAGTCTGATGTTTGGGAGTCATTTGATCAAGTTGCAAATACGAAGACTGGCGAGCCTAAGGTTATGTGTAAACGCTGTCAGAATGTGATCGTTCACCCAGGGGTTTACCGTGCTGGTCCGTCTCCGATGAAGGCCCATCTTACTAGTGCAGTCTGTGTTAAGCCACGGAAGACTGCAAAGCAAGGCATTAACCAGTTACTACGAGAGATGGTAAGTCTATCCTAGATCTAATCTATATTATATACTCATATTCTCTATCTCTACCTAGCCGCGTCAAAAGAACAAGCACGGAATTCAGCCAGGCGACACTCCAGAAGAAGATCCTCAAGTTCATCACAACTACCCGTCTTCCATTCCGCACTTTTGAGCATATAGAGTTTAAAGAGCTACTGCAATACACTAGGCTCGCTAACTCAGAGCTTAATATCCCGTCCGCCCGCAGTATAAGACGGCTTTTGGATAATGAAGTCCAAGAATAGCAGCAGAGTGTGCTCAGTAAGCTCCCGCCTAGAAGCTGTCTCTCTATTGCACTTGATTGCTGGACCTCTCCTTTTGGGCAGGCATTCATGGCAATTACTGGAAACTTCCTCGATCGGGACTGGAATTACTGTGAAGTTCTTCTTGGATTTGAGCATATACAGGGATCACATACTGGGACTCAGCTAAGTGAGACTGTTATCCGAATCCTCCAAGAGCATAGTATTGCCGACCGAGTATTATCAATCACAACCGATAATGCATCAAACAACAACACAATGATGGAAGGCGTTCAAGAAATGGTTCAGTCCAAGGCTCTTCATAATACCTCTGTCTTCCGGGTACCATGCATTGTGCACGTTATGCAACTTAGCCTAAAGGATCTCCTTGGAAAGATCAAAGCGGACCCAAAGAATACAGAGGCCGAGTCAGAGTGGTCAGATGAACGTACGAAGTCGCTACAGTTAGCTCCAGGTTATTCTTCCGGAAATATCGTGGCTACATTAAAGAAGGTGAGTGTATAATATTATATTCAGAGGTTATATTTACTAAAATAATATAGGTTCGAGAGCTTGCTGTATTCATTAACGCTAGTCCTCAGTGTGACGATCTGAGATGTTATGCGATTTAAATTGAGTTGGCCTGAGACATCAGGCATGGCCGCAGGAGGCACGGCTGCCCGATCGGGCAAGAAGGAGGTTTTCAGGAGAGAAACTTCAGCTAGATACTTCTCTTCTCTTCTTTTCTCTCTCCAGTCTTGATACTTTCGTTGAAATGCACAAGTTGATTTGATCTGCTTCCTGGCACGTAACAATAATGACGGACGATATACACTTCCTTCCCTCCGTAACACAATGAATAACGCCTACCCCATCTCCAACGACTGGTAAACGGAAACGCCAGGACCGCTGGTCCCAAAGAGCCGCCGCTCACACGCCCTCTACACCACCAGGCTTATTGAGAAATGATTCCACCTCATCGATACGCCAGTCGCACAACCCTACTGAAACTACCGCTCTTAATGATGATGACGAAGGAACACTAATAACCTGGCCAGACACGGCCGACGACGATAAAGCACCAACACGACCTCACACTCCTACACCAGAGAGACGTTCCCAAAGATCACGAAACAAAGCCCTATGTTAATACGCGTGTTTAATCGAAATATAATACTTAACTTCCTTTTATTTTATACTACGAAGGATTATACGCTTCACCGACCACCCACTTCTTCATATGTTTTATCGGAATACTCGCGTCGTAACTAAATGCATAATGAGGGTGGCTTAACTATATTACCGCTATTATCTATACTCTCACAGATTCGCCTTTTTGCCCTCTTCTCTCAAATCCCCATTTGCATCGTTTCAGGGCCGATGCGCGCGCTGCGCGCGTCTTTCCAGTGATATGGCGTCAGAGCTCGGGGAAGGGGCTTCATTTTGCCAGAATTAGCTTAGCGTAATCTTAGTGGGGCGCTGGGAAAGAAAGCGTGTGTGTCTGGGGGGTAATCTGTTTTCGAAATCCTCTGTAGCTATGCCGCAACATGGGGAGAGTTCGACTTTGGGTCAGCGATCAACTTTGGAAGATCAGCTTTCGTTGTTTCCACGATAGCTGCAGAGAAGGCAGGCTTGGAAGTCCAAGGTATGAGAATATGTGACGTCCACACAGACACTTGCTCATCGGTCGACGCGAGAAGCGCAGCTGTCCATAACGCCTACACTACCACGGTGGCCGGCAATGCTAAGATGGGAGGTACGATTCGACCTGGTCCAGCCAGGCTTGCAGTCAGTATTGGCTATGATGAATTTCCATTGCCAGAAAACCGCGGTTAGACTTGCTGACCGTGCCTAAGCCTATCGTTTGTGTTGTGATACCTGGCACTTGCTGCTCAGGAATGAAGCCGCAACATCGGAAATAATTCCTGCTCTATGTATAGGAAGAACCAAGTTGATTGGAAATCAACTTGGACTTCATGCTGTATATATAGCCTCATGTATTTCCTCAAGAAGAAAGTCAAGCTTCCTTTTGTATTTACAACAGGTTATGAGCCCGAGTGCAACCACTCGGGTGCCGTCTCTACTCACACCGAGACACATTCAATTCTTTGACTTGTGATTATATATTACCCCGCTTCCTCAACATCATGTCGGCTCTCGTCCAGGACTCCCCCGACCGAGCCGTCACAGCCATTGAGCCTCTGACAGGAAGCGATAACTACGCTACCTGGAAGCGCCTCATGACTTCCTACTTGAAAGCCAGGCAGGTCTGGGATGTGGTGTCGGGCGACCTCCAGCGTCCAGATTGCCAGTTCAAATATGCCAAGCCAATCACGGCGGATATCACTCCGCTTGTGGAGCCCCACCTTAATGGGGCGGTGCGGCAGAGGGCCATCGAAGCACGCCTCGAAGTGGAGGTCCAAGCTTTCGAGCGTCATAAGGAATGGTCGCGGCGCGAAGCCGAGGCCTACCATATCATCTTCCGGTATCTATCGCCCAATATCAGTGTGCACGTCGCGGGACTGGAGACATCCCGGGAGCTCTGGAATGAGCTGGAAGAACGATATCGGCGTATGGAGCTGGCCACGTTTTGCGAGCTGTTCGCCCAGCTTCGCGAAACCACGGCCGCCCGATGCGCCAGCACACGGGAATTTGTCGATCGTGTGCGGTTGCTGGTACACCGGCTGAATGCCATTGCTCCGGGATCCATCGGTGACCGAACACACATCGCGATTCTGTTGACCCAAATCGGACCGGAATACGTCCTCGTCGTGGATGCCATCCAGAACGACAAGGACCCGGTCAATCCAACGACGATTGGAAACCGTCTCGCCAACGCCGAGCAGACGGTGCAGCGAAAGGACGCTGCTACGGTCCCGCACGGAGTGTCAGGCCCCTCAAACAACGCCTCTATCAATACGGTGCAGAAGACCGCAAAGAAATGCACCTACTGTAAGAAGCGCGGCCATGTGGCCGTGGACTGCTGGAAGAAACAGCGCGAACAGCAACCACCAAGGGACCATGCCCTAAAGACGGAAAGGAGTGTTTCTGGCTCACCAAGACACAATTTGCAAACCATACCAGTAAGCCAGAGGGAAGAACGGCAGGGCCCGCCGACTTCCAAGAGACCGCGGATCAATATCGTGAGGGCGAGGGTGACGACCCTTTATACCCACGCGCCGGCTTCCTCCTCTCGGTGGATCCTGGATTCGGCCGCCACCAGCCACATCTGTTGGGATCGGAGCTGCTTTGTTAGCTTGCGGCCGTACCGTGAGATGTTGGACACGGCGGGCGATCCAGTGGAAGCCGAAGGGATTGGTACGGTGAAGCTCACGCTCCGGGGGAAGTCCAGCCACCCCCTGGTGTTGAAGAACGTGTATTTCGCGCCACGCATCGGGATGAACCTGATCAGCGTGCCGAAGCTATTACGCGACCGCTACTCGGTGGTGGCGCACCCACAGAACGTCTTTGTGCAGCGCCGAGGACGAACCGTGGGGACTGCCTACCATGCGGAGGAGGATCTGTTGATCCTGCGGTGCCATGTGAGCCCAAGATCCCGAGAGCGAGTCCAACTGGCGAGGGCGCCGACAAACCGTGGGCATGCAGATTCCCTGGAACCGCAGGCGGTGGCCATGGATGTCGACGACCCTCGGGAGTCAAGTGGCGTAGGATGCGCATCGCCAACCTCTGAACTCGGTGGTGAAGCTCGGATACTCGAAGAAGATGCGTGCACAGGAGTGAACCAGGCCTCCGAAGCATTTTGGCACGCTCGGATGGGACATCTGAACCGGGGTGACTTGAGGGTGGTCCTCCGGCAGACCGGCACTCCGTACCGACCTCTGACGCACAGCGAACTGCTGGCAACGCCGCAGTGTCCAGCGTGCATGTCGGGCAAGCAGCATCAGAAGAGGAGCTCCCGTGCAAGACGGCCACGTCTGCACTCGTCAAGAATCTTTGAAATGATCCATTCGGACATTATGGAAATGCCAGTTGCTAAAGATGGCTCTAGGTACGTGATCACCTTTACTGACGATTATTCGCGCGGCTCCTGGGCCTATGCCATGAGATGGAAATATGAAGCGCTGCAGAAGTTTCGACAATTCGAGGCCTGGGTGCACCGACAGTTCGGCGCTCAGATCAAAAGGTTCCTCACCGATAATGGGAGAGAATACTTGCCGATCGGAACACACCTCGAGTCCCAGGGAGTTGAGTTTGACACGTCGCCGCCATACTGCAAAGGGCAGAACGGGCTGGCGGAACGCACGAATCGCACTATCCGGGAGCGGATCAACACGCTCCTGTCCGATGCGAAACTTCCTCCTTCCTGGTGGACCGAGCTCTTAGACACGGTAGTCTATCTTAAGCTGCGCGCGCCAGCATCAATCCTACAGAAGAAGACACCGTATGAAGTCTTCTACGGGAAGCCACCCAAGCTGTTGCATCTACGACGGATCGGCTCCCGCGCATGGGTATTGATTCCTAAAGAGCATCGGGCGAAGATCGGACCACGGTCGTCTGAGTGCCGACTGCTCGGGTACTGCGAACCCAATCAGTACAAGCTTTATGAAGTACACTCTGGAAGGACCATCTTTTCCCGTGATGTCGAGTTCGATGAAAGGACCCCTGTGGCGCCACTCATCGAGGGGGAAACTGGCAACGACCTCCCGGACAACGCTCCTCCAGCACCTGTCTTTCCTGAACCAATGCTGCCTCCATCTGGTGGGCCACCTACGCCGCCGCCATCTCCTGACAAACTAGAGAACGCTGCTCCTTGTGAGCGAGTTGATAACGTGCCGTCTGATTCTGAACCGGTTGATGTTCCCTCACCAGTCAATCCAATCCAGCACGAAACAGAGGCCACACAGGACCTTGGTTATTCTTTGTATGGCCGAAGACGAAGATCTTCCAGGCGTCTCTTGGAGTCTCTAGGTAAGGTGTATGCGACAGGGACATTGAATGCAACTGTCGCAAAAGACGTGGATCCTCTGACCTTCCACGAAGCTGTGTCTGGACCCAATCAGCTGGAATGGTGGGCTGCGATCCAGAAAGAATACGCTTCTCTTCTTGATCATGGCACATGGGAGAAAGTTTCACGAAATGAAGTTCCCCCCGGGGATCGGATTATTGGCTGCAAGTGGGTATTCAAGACGAAGACTAATGGAATCCGGAAAGCGCGATTGGTGATCAAAGGCTACCGACAGAAACATGGTATCGACTATCACGAAACCTTCGCGGCTGTATCCCGAATGGATTCGGTCCGCAGCATCGTTGCGAGTGCCGTGCTGCGTGGGTGGAAACTCCACCAATTCGATGCCGTCACTGCGTTCCTCCACGGTGATGTCGATTCGTCTATCTACATGTAGCTTCCAGAGGGCTTTGAGGAAGATGGATTCGTTTGCCGTCTTCGACGCTCCTTTTACGGACTTAAGCAGGCACCACGGATTTGGTACCATTGCGTCCACCGTGTCCTGGTAGCTCACGGCTTTACCATGGCCCAGTCCGACAACTGTGTTTTCTTTAAGCCTAACTGTGTCGTCTGCGTGTACGTTGACGACTTTCTGGTCGCAGCCGCGGACGACACCGAGATCCAGCAGCTTCAAAGGGCCTTGGAATCGGAGTTCAAACTGAACGATCTGGGAAAGCCGCGTTCATTCCTAGGAATTCAGTTTGACTTCCACGCGGACGGATCGATTTCGATTCACCAACATCAATACATCCAAAAGGTCCTCTCCGACTTTTGCATGGAGACCTGTCAACCGAAGTCTACACCGATGGCTCCGAAAGTTCTCCTGAATAACGTTCCCGACGGGAGCGACCTGGATGAAGATACGAAGGCTCGGTTCGGGACCGCAATCGGATCACTGATGTATCTTATGGTCGGTACGCGCCCTGACATCGCGTTTGCGCTTGGGACGTTGAGTCGTTTCACATCCCGACCGCAGTCGCATCATCAAGCCGCACTGCAGAGACTGCTCCGCTATGTCAAGGCCACGCAATTCTATCGCATCACATACCGCAGCGGGCAGTTGATCGGATATACCGATGCCGACTTTGGTGGCTCGGTCGTCACGGATGGTGCATACTCCACGTCCGGTTATGTGTTCAAGCTTGCGGGAGGGCCAGTTTCCTGGTCGTCCAAAAGACAGGGGGAAGTGGCGACGTCCACGACTCACGCGGAGTACATTGGCCAATACAATGCCATCCTTCACTTACAATGGCTCCGCACGTTCCTGGCGGAAACCTGCCTCTTTCGATCGCCCGTGACCAACATCATGGCTGACAATCAATCTGCCATTGCTCTTTCCCGCAACCCCGAGTTTCACAAACGGACGAAGCATTTCAACGTGAAATTCCATTACCAGCGTGCTGTTCTGAATTCCGGCGAAATCAATCTCGAATACATTCCAAGCGAGGAACAGGCGGCTGATGGACTCACCAAGCCCCTAGGACCCTCTCCATTCATTACGTTTTGCAAGCTCCTAGGAATTGGTACTGAAGAACACATGAAGGAAAATGTGTAACCGCGATGGGGCTCTTTCCACTATTTCTCCTCTTCGAGGTTTTGAGTGGTTTTACCGAGGCCTGACCGACGTGCATATGTTCAGTATCGCCTCGCCAGCAAGGCGATCCTGAGGGGGAATGTTGTGATTTGAGGCTGTTGCTGCTCAGGAATGAAGCCGCAACATCGGAAATAATTCCTGCACTATCTATACGAAGTTCCAAGTTGATTGGAAATCAACTTGGACTTCATGCTGTATATATGGCCTCTTTGTATCCCTCTGAAATAAGAAGAATTAAGCTTCCTTTTGTATTTACAACAGGTTATGAGCCCGAGTGCAACCACTCGGGTGCCGTCTCTACTCACACCGAGACCCATTCAATTCTTTGACTCGTGATTATATATTACCCCGC